TATATATATATATATATATATATATATATATATACTATCACATATTTCTGCTTTGAAAGATGATTTTCCAAATATATTTGTAGTTCATTGTAATAAAATGAACTTTTAGATATGATGCATTACATTGTGTTACATAATATACTTACTGTGCTTATGCATAATATATATATACTCTAATGTTTCTCAATATTTGCAATGTAACAAACCTGGAGCATAAGAGAGGCTGAGGTTTTTGTGTAAACTCAAATGAAGGTAATGTTTCTTTACTGTGCATTGCAAAAATTCCTCCAATAGTTGCTTCACCCTCCTTGGAAAGTAGCGGGTACTTCGGATCTCCCATCATTTGGCAAAGTGTTTTTTCTGCCTTTGTATGAAAGTGATTGCAAAATGTGAGTGTGTAAAGTAAGAGAAGCATCCCAAAGATTGTTCAGCTGTGACTGATGCAAATGATCTGATAAATTATTTTCATATCTACGATATATATAGAGAGAGATAATAAGGATGAATGATTGAGAACATATGACCTCATTGGGCAGAGCATGAGACAGATCAATCAAGAAAGCAATAGAGTCAATCTAAATAGAGGGCATCATATTTATTTATTTATTTACATTAAAAAAGACCCACAAACCCACATCTACATTACACCGTTTGTAATAAAGCATTTTAATGCTTGCACACTTGTTTGATTGTTAATGACACTACCAGTATGCAATTTTAAAAAGGAAAAACGATCGAAAATTGGTTAAAAAGGGAAAACATTATGAATGAAATTTACTTAACAAATGTTATATCAACAAGCTCTTGTGAATTTCACTGTGTTCTAAAGTTCAAGTCTGTTGAACTCTGACCTGTGAATTTGGTTTCGTAGGTTTGCAGCATTGCAGAAAATTGGACTAGATTGCATATCCATATGTTTGTATTTATCATTTCTTATTTGTTATACATTGAATAAAAAAAAAAGATGCCAGAGAGTGGGACATCATATTGTGGCCATTGCTGTGTCAAAATATATATTGCATGCTCAAAGAGCGTGGCTTTATGCCCAAAGTATACCCCAGTTTTTACACTAGGGTATGTGTATAGTGCACGTAAACTTTGTCAGCAGCATAAATGCATGCTGTACCTGCACTGTCCATTTTTTTCTAAGCATGCATGTTGCGTGCATTCAGCTTGTACCTTTTTGCACTAAGTTGGTGTACAAGGTGGCAAAAACTACAACAAACTACTGGAGACTGCAAAAAACAGTAGGTGCCCACATTGATGAGCACTTGAGTGAAAAGTTGGGAGACACCCACAATTCTAGTTTAAAAGTTCAAAGACATTTTCATTGGCCATAACTTTTGGAGAGAAATAGCGCAGACACTGGACCAACATAGCCTGTATTGACCGCTTGTGTCTGTCAAGTGGCATTTACATTGAAAGTAGTGTTAATTTCGTTAATGAAAAGTATGACGAAAAAAATTTGTTGACAAGCTTTTTTCCCATGACGGCAGGGCCGGCCCAAGCCTTTATGGGGCCCTAAGCAGAATTTTACATGGGGGCCCCTCAGTGCCGCCAATACGACTGGTTATTGTCAATGCTTGATTATTCGCACACCCATTATCAATTTTATTTGGTGTAGCTGTGTTGATTACATCATACCAATGTCTGCCTGTTATGTTTTTACCCTTCTACGATTTTTAATTGTAACAGTAGTAAACCCACAAGAGTGGTCAGGTCTTAATTTGCACTTTAACATTCAAAGTCTTACAGTATTAAGTGGCATACTTAATGTGGTGTACTGAAAAGTAGTTAAATAAACCAGATGACAATGCATTTACGGAACAGAATGTTATTTTAACAACATAAATTATTAAACACACATCTAAAACAACAACTCTTAATCTATAACTAGCTAATTGAGGCATAATGATATTGGAATATAGCAAGACCCCAAAGGTAGGCTAAGGTAAATAATGTTAAGCTGTTATCAGCACCAAGTTTATGAAACAGAAGCTTATTTTTATTACAAAAATATATACACAGGAAAGTTATTTTTATACAGAAGACAAAAACTTTAATCAAAAACAAAATAAAATATTGTAATATTCCTATATTATGATGTCAAGGCTATACCTTTATTTAATTTATTTTAAGATTTCAGACATTTAAATAGACATTGCAATTAACTACTAGCAAAAAAAAAATTATAGTTTGTTAAATACACACTGATTTCTATGGAAAGCGTAAATAATAAACCTTTCAATTAAAATTTGACGACATGTTTTATTCTTTTCAACCATAAATTTTACTCTGTTTTCTCCCAGTTCACTGGCCACTTACTTTCATGTATTTCGGGAGAAATGGGCTGTATCATATAGTTCACGATGTAGGCTAGTTAACAACCTAAAAACTAAATAAAAGTCATACATCTGTCATACTAAATATACTCAATCATACAATCATACTTTAATATTGCTTTTTTCATGTACGCTTGGGGGCTCCCTGGTGGCCACGGGGACCCTAAGCAGCCGCTTAGTTCACTTATGCCACTTAGGCCGGCTCTGCATGACGGACGGGACTATGACAAGAAAACAATAAGGTCAATAAACGATAACTGTGACTACATCAACATGACAAGACTAAAATGTATTTAAAAAAATAAAAACTATACCATTTTTTTTTGTTGAAAAAAAAGGAGACAAAACATTATTCCAGACTGCTGTAGTCTGCAGTTGCCAGATATCAAGAGTTCAAATCTACAAATCAGAGCTTCTCTGTTAAAAGGATACATTTTCTGCCTGGTGTTTTACTTATTTTTTGCAATCTGGGAACCATGTGCACACACTCGTTCTTCATTGCGGAAGCACCAACGATGATCTGATAACAGTACATTACTATTACATACTGTACAAATACAGTACTCTCGTAAATGACACATTATGTCAAATATTATGTAGAAAATTAAACTTCATAGAGTTCATAGAGCAGGAGCTGCTGATGAAAATTTCAACAATATGTTTTATTGGAGTATACTGTATAAGAAAGTGTATTGAAGTTTAGAAGAAAAATACATTTCAAGTGCATTAATGCACACAGTATATATTATAGCCTAAATACATTTAAAATACATTAACAAATGTAATTTTGGAGAACACACTTAAGTTGAAATTAAAATCAATTATTTTACATGTGCTTTAGTATATTGGTAAATATATCAAAATAAGTGTACTTATTTAAAACACTATAAAATTATAATTATGTAAAATGTATGTATAAGTAATACTTAATTAGACATTATTATACAGTGCATTTTTAAAAAGTGCACTTAAGTATGTTAAGAAATATTGTCATTAAAGTGTACTCTCTTTAGGTACACTTAAGTTGTCTTTCATTTAAATTATATTATATTATCTGCAAGTACACTTTTTAAAAAGTATACTTTTAAGATTTTAAGTACACAAAAAGTACACTTTTAATACAATTAAGCATTCTTCTTTTTCACAAGGGCATTAAAATTACGTATTATAAGTGCACAATCTAGTTTTTCTCAGAAAAGTGCCTTGAACTTTTTGACATTAATTGGTTGTCCAAAAGGAAGCAACACTGGCCCAGGTTTAAAAAAAAAAAGTTTGAAAGAGATGGATCAACAACAACAAACTTCTGGAAGGTGCAAGAACAATGCCTGCATTTATGAGTGTTTGTGTGAACGGATTAAAACATAACCATAATTCTAGTTTTAAAAAATCAAAGACATTTTTAGCAGTCATAACTTGGAGGGAAATAGCGCAGACACTAGAGAAACATGAAACTTTCTAGTGCATATGTGTTTGCACATGCTATCAAATGCAGTATAGTTTGAAAGGCTATGCCTATTTACCTGTATGTGTAAGCTGATCGTTCATGTCAAAATTGAAGTATATTTTGAGCTTAAAACATCACCACAAGATTTACTTAACCTGGAAGATTACCAGGCAAACACGGTAAAAGTGTTAATGTTAGTATTTTTTTTTTGGGGGGGGTTTTGATGTCCATAGTAATGGTGTGTGTAAAACTGTGTTTTCTTTGTTTCTGTTTGTGTTTAGTTTTCACGGTGTTCCATATTAATAAATATAACGTATGGACGTCAGTGCTTTGGATGTGTTGACTGTTTAATGACCAGTGAGTAGTTACAGTGAAAACGTGGCCTAATTCCGTTCTACTGAAGTCTGCGTTGGCGGTGGTCCTCCGGTTTCAGTGCGCGGCTTGCCGCTTCTGGGTCTCTGCATGCGGTTTGGGTGCTTGTGGTGAAAGAGGCTGTTGTCTTCAGTGCACGACTCTGCTACGCTACTCCTGGGACTTTGGGTGCTGTTCGGCAGCCCTTGCCGTGTTGGTTGCTGCAAGTTTCAGCGTGCAATTCTGCATCTTCCTCCTGTGGTGGACTCTCACGGGTTTGGCGTGCAGTTCTAATACAATGCCGGTGGAGGATTTTCTCACGCAGCTTTGATCCATCTGTGACTCAACAGCAGTGGTGGAAAGAGTAATGAAAATTTGTACTTAAGTACAAGTACTGTTACATTGCTGAAATAATACTCAATTACAAGTAAAAGTACTGGTGTCAAAACAGTACTTAAGTAAAAGTACAAAGTACTCCTCTCAAAGATTACTCAGAGTATTAGTATTACTAGTTACTTTTTAGCCAGTGATATTTAATGAATTACCAAAAAATATTCATATCAAAGATCTATGTGGATAATAACTCATTTGAACAGAACCCACTTTTATCTTATTGACAAAGTACGTTAATTAGTGCTCATATGATACAGGAATTTCTAACTTCAATACCTTGAAAAAAATCAATTTGAAAGTACCCGTGAACTGGAAGTTGCAACTGACTTCAGTGTTGTGGTGTATTTCCAAGTGAAATATTAAATAAAGGGCGCGGGGTTTTATTGTGGTGCACCTCCACTCCACCTCTTGCTCATAGCAGATTCACGGTTGGATAGTGGTTAAGAATAGCTGCTTGTTACGTCTGACATCACGCTTCACCGCTTCTGGGTTAAATATATCAAAATAAGTGTACTTATTTAAAACACTATAAAATTATAATTATGTAAAATGTATGTATAAGTAATACTTAATTAGACATTATTATACAGTGCATTTTTAAAAAGTGCACTTAAGTATGTTAAGAAATATTGTCATTAAAGTGTACTCTCTTTAGGTACACTTAAGTTGTCTTTCATTTAAATTATATTATATTATCTGCAAGTACACTTTTTAAAAAGTATACTTTTAAGATTTTAAGTACACAAAAAGTACACTTTTAATACAATTAAGCATTCTTCTTTTTCACAAGGGCATTAAAATTACGTATTATAAGTGCACAATCTAGTTTTTCTCAGAAAAGTGCCTTGAACTTTTTGACATTAATTGGTTGTCCAAAAGGAAGCA